TGTATTTCTACGCGGACGAAGTCGCGGGCACGGGGCAACAGCTAGTATAATTGTATAACGTACCTCTTTGAAGTTTTCTGCAATGAACACGATGTAGACACATAACGCTGCTAAGTATGTACAGGTCATCGCGTAGTCCACGAAAGTTCTGAAATCAATAAAAAAAAATTCTTAACTAAACGTCGACGCCACTGTTGGCGTAGTAGCTAGGCAACTGGCTACAGTGCAACGTGGCGCGTGTTCGATTTCCGCCCGAGCCAACTCTTTGTCCATAGATTGTTGTTTTGGATCTACGTGTAATATATAGAGGTAGGTGAATTTCTATGTTTGTGAACGCACCCAAGATACAGGACAAAATCCTAGTGTGGCACACTTGTAGCCCACAGATAGCTTGCCACACACCATTCATTAAAAAAAAAGGAAACAACAAAAAACAACAATATTTCATTCTCTGTATTAAGGGATAAAGAACATAATAGATAATTTACCTGGCGAAATTGGCCCACGGCCGTAATCTTTTAGGTCCATACTCGAAAGCTGCTCCACAGGTCTCTGCGAAGCCCATCGAGGGCTTCTTAGCGTCCACACATACTTCTTGGGAAGTTTTAACCTGTAAAGAAAGTTTTATATTTAGTGTTTAGAGAATAGAAGAGAAGAGTACTCTTACTTAAAAAAAACTCAGTAGTAGCACGGAGTCAGGAATTGTGCCCCTTACTTACATGGCAATAGGCTCACCTCCTATTACATGGAACTCATAACATAAATAGTGAAAAGTGGGTCTTACATTGTACGTAGGCATTAAGTGCCTCAATGTGAACTTGTGCGTAACCCTACATTGATAAAAATCGTGATGTTATGTCAAGATAATTTCTTTAGGATAATCCAGACGACTGTTTCATGGGTCTTGTGAGTGCGATTGTCATTGTCTTAATCTAATGCGCCTGCCACACACTCGACGAGTGGTATGGGAAGTAACGAGGAAAGGAGGCAGTAGCATAGTGTGGCAACATAACTCGTCATGCCCCACGTCATGCTCCCACGTCCTGCCCAACGTTCGGTGCTTGCTTAATTTTAGACTTTCCTATATCGCACTTAGAAGTCAACAAAGCAATCTAGACAGTAGAAACAGCCTGTCATCAAGTACCATTCATTAAAATAATAATGAAAATGAACGTTACGGTTTCAAATCAAAAACGGTATGCGGAAATGGATCTTAATGCAGGCAAGAATGGTTGCTTAAACCATTTGATTCATTTAATTGTCCTCAGAAATTACTTGGTAAGTTCGAAACAAAGGAATTTATTCAAATTCTGAAAGTACACAATGGCGACTTTGGAGGAAAGTTGCGGGGTATTTGACGATGGAAATAATAGCTTTGAAGTGATTGAAATAATTACTGCTACTGATCGAGGTGCTATATTTTTTTTTATATATTTGATGGGCCGTTTGTCCACTATCTCGCCTGGTGGTATGCGATAATGCGAATAAATAATATATTCATAGTTTGAAGCCAAAATTATTTATTTTGGTTTCTTCATCAACTTTTACTTGGATGGTGATTAAATTTTAACCGAATTCAAAAATAAAAGAAAGGAGTTTTGAAGTTTTAGCTGTATGTATGTATTTTTTGGGCGATTATACCGCGATGGACCGAACAGTATTTATTATACTTAGGGGAAGGTTTTATTTAACCGACTTCAAAAGAAGAGGGGGTTCAGGTTGGTTTTCTCAAACGCAGTTTATAAAATAACTATTAGTATCATCATAACACTTCGTTATTATTGAAACAGAATAGGGCGTCATTTGCCTTTAAATCATTGCAGCATTAAGACAATCAAGGACTTGAATAATACATTTCAAGAGTGAACTGAATAAAAAATAAAAAGAACTTAAAAAAAAATACCCCAAGAAACATTGAACAAATAAATAATCAGGAAACAATAAACTAAAATATAAATCACGGATGTCACGGTGCAATTGATTAAAATACCTAATCAGTTAAGAGATGAATAGCTAAGCGGTTACCTTGGCTTTCAATCAAGGTTTCTTTTAATGTCGTGAGTAGAGATGAGACTCAGAACTAATATAATACGTGTTTCTATATCTAAGTTTAGTTACTGCTTCTTTAATGGAGTCACGACTCTTTCGATTCCTGAACTGGACAATATAGTTTAAAAATACTCGATTTAGGGATCTAAAGTTTGTGATGAAATGCCTTTTTTTTAAAGGGGGAAAATCATCGAATGACTGCCCCCGCCTGGGTGAGGCGAGAGGGAGTGTCAGACTCTTACTGACTAAAACATCATCATCATCATCATCATCATCATCATCATCATCATCATCATCATCATCATCATCACATCGGGCCTTTTATACCCGAAGAGGTAGTCAGAGGTGTATATTACGGCACTTAATGCCACTGTACAATGTAACACCCACTTTTCACTATTTGTTTTACGAGTTCCATGTAATAGGGGGTGAGCCTATTGCCATATACCGGGCACAATTCCAGGCTCCGGGCTACTACTGAGAATTGTTTTTATTTATTATCTAAATACATTTGGCCAAATGTATATTAAGTATGTATATTAAGTACTTTATACTAAAGTACTTCGCCCTATTTCCAAGGAATATTATCAAAATATGTTTGTATATTGTGTTAGCAAATATTAAAATCACGAAACAGTTTGTAGGTTTATGTTGTATCGTAATTTATGATAATTAATTCGGAAGTCTCTCAGAGAAGCAGTCAAACGATTTATCTACTTGGCTGACTCAATTGATTTATAAATGCTAGGTAGAAGTAAACAAAACAATATTTTAAAATAGTTTTTAATCAATGTTTTAGTATTGTTAATAAGACCATTAGGTTTAGTCGGAAGTCATCTTTTGAATTATAGAATCTAAAGTAGTGTTTTATTATTATTTTACCTCTTCCAGTTCCTTAGAATAAATTCGGGTTGCCTCTGTAGTATTACTTTTTGCCTATAAGGTTCAAAATCGTTTGTACGCAAAGTTAGAACTGAGCATTCTGGATTGGGCAGCTTTGTGGACTTTTCTCTTATATTTATGGCACATAAGAGTCTCTTATCCTCACCAGAAGTTGGCTAAAATTTCTGTTTTGAAACTGGTCCAAAATATCCGTGAAATAGTTATTTGTAATACCGCCTATCGTGTCCATACCGTATATAAATAGGATAAAAGGCATAATTGTGGTTTGACATCACGTGACGTCATATCATAATCATCTATATAATTATAAAAATGAAACCATTTTCCCGTTGTCACGCCATAACTTGAGAACGGCTAGATTTGGCTGAATTTTTTTGTTGTGTTTGTTATTGTCAGGAGAAGGTTCTTATGACAGAATAAATTTGGAGAAAAAGAGATAGCGCGTACGAAGTCGGGGGCAGAAGCTAGTGCCTTATATAAGTCACATCA